GGAAGTGCCTCGAGTGCTTGTATTGGGTCTAGTACCCATTGGACGATCAGGCCTGTGTTTTCCAAGGCGCACAGAGCCAGAAGTGAGTCCAGAGCCTTGGATGGTGGCAGCGGGAACCCCAGGCTAGCGGGTGTGCTCCAGGGAAGGGGTCGGCCAGACGGGAGGCACCCCAGGGAGGCACTCGGAGCCTGGACGGTGGTCGGGTGCAGGGAGGTGGGCGGCTCAACGCAGGAGCGCCCCCTACTGGCCCGCCACACTACCTTTTGATTGCACTTGTGCTTAGGACTGAGAGTGGCTGATCAATGAGACCATTCCTGTCACAACTCAAAAGCTTTATTAGCATACGCAACTGCAAAGACTTATTGGTATGAATACAGGCAATGCTTGCACAGCCTTGGATTCAGGAAGAGCAGGTCTGCTGACCAGGCATCTCTGCTTTCCTGGGGACTCTTGCTGAATTGTTTCTTTCTGCTGAGCTTTGGGAAAGGTCCAGTTTGTTGCTTGGCCCAGGCTGAATATTTCTAGATGGTTGATTTGACAGGCTCCTAATTAATCTTTGATTGGTTTTATTTAAATGTCTTTTTTCCACTGGAACTTTTGGAACTGGATGGAACCAGATTTTAATGCCCTGGGAAGGGCTCAAGGGATCAACTTAGCTAAGGTTGTGTCTTTTTGGTGTCTGACCCCAGTCTGTTAATGATCTGGCAATCTTTATTTTAATCAAGATCTTATCAATTAATTGAAATATATATTTTTGACATAGCAGAAGGACAGATTTCTCATTTTCTTCATGGCTTGCCTTTTGGAGTCATTTACTAACTGTGGTGTGTGGCCTGACAAGGCTTCTTCACTCTTTCTATCCTTGAGGTATCTTTGTCTGTATAATCATTTGAACATGTTAGCAAGAATGCATTTATTATAGGAAAATAACTATTAATACATTTGGTCGCCTTAGTTATTAATGGTTCAGGATGCAATTGTAATATATGGTACTTAGAATACAGGCCCTTGGCCTGCTTGCTGTTCAGTCATATTTCTGCAGGTTTGACTTAGGTTCCCTGAAAATGGCCAAGTCTGACATCCACGCTTTCCCTGCAATTTGGTTCGGCTTTGAATAGCATCTGTTTCATTTACGTTATAAGGATGCTTGTTATGCATAGCTCATGCTGCACAGGCCTACACGTGGCTACAGGCAACACAAGTAAAGTGCAGGGTGAGGATCCTTGGTGCTACTGCAATGGAAGTAATAATAGGGGACAACAGCATTGAGACCCACCTGATGCTGCCATTAATGTGACATGTCAGTAATGGAGCAGGTGAGAAGTGTATGAATGTGCAGAGCCCTCAGCATTCCCAGGACCCCAGGATCCCTCCTTTCCCCTCAGCCCAGACCATCAATCCCAGCATGTGGATAGAGCTTGCTGGGGGCATGAGCTGGTTATCAGCAAAGGAGTTTTATGGACTCACTGGAAACACTTCTGTACACTGCAGTGCTGAGATCTGTGAGTGATCAAGGAGCTCTCTGCATACAGAGAGAATCCACCGCCACTGCCCTGGGCAGGGACCCAGAGCCCAAGGTCCCTTCCACCTTCATGTTCCCAACCAACTCTGCCTGTTTGCGAGCAGTCAGTGGAGAAGAGCTTCCTCCCGGTTGGCCTCTCTACCGCCTGTATCAAAAAGTCATCCCAACACACTCCAGGAACCTGCTAGGCTGCTTGTGCATTGCTGCGTGTCCTTCCCACCAGATATCCCGATAATTACAGTCCCCCGGAGAACCAGGCCCAGCCATTGGAAACCTCCTGCCATTTGTTTCAAGAAGGCCTCCTCCACCTCCACCTCCTGCTTTGGACGCCCACCACGACACTCCCCATGCTGCTCTCCCCTCTGAGCTTTACCCAGCAGCTTGCAACTGGCCTCTCTCTCTTCATTGCCTTTCATTGTACGATTGCTGATAAGTTCATCGCCCATCTGGCCTGCTGCTCCCAGTGGGCACTTGCAGAGAGCCCCTTATTGCAGGTCTCCATGGGAGGAGGTGACAATACCAGCTCTGCACAAGCAAAGGCATCGTGTCCCCTGCAGGTCGCTGCAGAGCTCCTGCAGGACGCTGAAGTCTCAACACCACCAGGGACAGCAGCTCCACGGACAAGCCCCCTGTTATCCCCCACCCATCATCTGGGCTGCCATGCATCCTCCAGCACAGATGCCAGGATCTGATTGCCCGGTCCCTCTCAGTCACAGCAAGGTGTGATGTGAGGGCTAATGGTATGGGCAGGGTGCCAGCCACTGCCCACAGTGCCAGTTACAATGGCACGTCCTCAGCCGGGCAGGGCCAGGAGGAGGAGTCCAGGCAGAGTGAACCTCTAGCACCTGGGGGCCGCGGCCCTGCCCTTGGAGGAAGGCCGAGTCCTCACCCCGCTCTGTTATTTCTGCTCTGTGACAAGTGGTGGCAGGAGTGAAATGCAGCCACAGGGCTCCCACACACAGGCCCCCCTCCCCCCCTCCCGCGTGGCCCAGCCACAGGCCCTCCCTCTTTCCTCTCCAGATCGGGCGTTTCAGCCCAGTTGGAAGAAGGGCAGCAATGAGCAGTGGGCGCCTGTGCAGAGCCCTCCGCAACCCCGTGCCCTGGCTGCCCTTGCCCCTCAGCCCAGGACCTCCCTCCCAGGACAGGTGTTAACCTTGTCTTGAATGAGACGTCTTGTGCCCTGGGTCAGGGGTGAACTGCATCCGCCTGCTATCAAAAATGAGCTTGAAGGATCCAATGAAAAACACTCAGGCAACTTATAAGGTGCATACACCGTATCGGCCAGATCCCTACAGAATCACTCTGCCCGCAGCAAAGTAATCAGCTGTGAAACGGGTACAGTTGAGCAGCCCGGGAACCGTTCTCGTTCTCACAAGAGGTGTTGCAAGGGCGACGTCTGGTCAGAAGCTGGAGTCGTCTGTCAGGACCTCGGTGCAACTGCTCCTGAGACCAGGGGTTTCTTCCCTCTGCACAACCTCTCCTGGGCACCTGCAAACACCACACCATCCCCAAACACTGCCCCAAAACAGCTCCCCTGGGTTTGGCACCTGGGGTGTCTCTACTCAGCTATGCTTTATTGAGCTCTCTGCTGGAGCTCCCACAGAGCCGCTGTTTCCTGTGACTTTCTTCAGCAATCCCAGAGCCCCTTCTCTAGGACACCTCTCTTTCCCGGGTTGCCTCCCACTGAATCCCTGCACCCTGGGATCTGAAGAGTGGGGTGGGGAAATGGTTTGCACAAACTCCTGCGGGAAGGATGGTGGCCCCTTTCCAGCCCTCTGAATGCAGGAAGGCTACTCTGAAGTCATCCCGGCCCAGCGCTCAGCCAGTCCCCTATTGAAAACCTCCACTGAAGGAGGTCCCACAGCTCCTTGGGCAGCTCGTTTCCCCTCTTCTTGTCCCGGCAGGAAGGAAGTTCTTCCTGAGGTCTGATCCACACCTACTCGCTTGCAATGTGAAGACACTGGGTCGTGCCCTCCTCTCTGCAACAAAGGAGAAGTCTGTGTGCAGTGGTGTAAATGTAAATGTAACCCAACTTCCTTTCATCTGGGTATTTGCACTGTTTACACATGTCAGCCTTATCAGTTGTGCCTTTAGTGTAGAGCCAGGCTGAAGGGAAAACCCAGGTTGACTCCATACGGAAGGAGGAAAAATTTGGGTGTACAGGGTGGGTAGGGACATTTCTCACTCAATAACCTTGACTTGAGAGAGACGTCTTGTGCCCCAGGCTCAGGGGGAACCTGCATCTGCCTGATATCAAAAATGAGCCTTCAGGATCCTGTGTCAACACCCGAGTGCTGTGCAGCGTGTGCTAGATCACAGCTGAGCTCCGTGACTGCGGGGAGGACGGATGGGGCAAGTGCGGGACTGTGACCAGCCCCCGCCCTGCTGTGATGGGGCAGGAGAGTCCCTGGCCTGTGGCTGGGCAGGAAGCAGCTGGTGCCGGAGCAGCAGGACTGAGCAGAGCAGGAGGTTTTTGTACGGGGCTGTAGCACTGTGACAGGCCAGCTGTTAGCCTGCTCGCAGAAATAATCTCCAACATCTCCAGCTTCCACCCGGCTGATTGTAAAAGTGTAGTCGGTGCCAGAGCCACTGCCACTGAACCGGTCGGGGACCCCGGAGGGGCGGTTGTTTGTGCCGTAGAGAAGAATTTTAGGATCCTGCCCTGGTTTCTGCTGGTACAAGTTCACTCTGCTGCTGCTGACACTGGAGCTGATTTTGCACTGGATGGTGACGGTGTCTCCTGGGGACACTGCCAGGGCCTCTGGAGTCTGAGTCACAACAATGTCCTCGGTCGTGCCTGCAATAATCACAATGATAAAACATCACAGATGTCAAACCACCTGAGGATCACAAAAGCTAAATATCACTGACGTTTTTTCAAAATCTCACACTTGACTTTCAGAAACCTGAGCGAAAATTAAACAGAACCCCTCCCCCTCTCCATGGACTTAAGAAACATCCTACAATGAATAATTCCCTGCTCTGCATTTTAAACATCCTGAATGACCTTGGGATGTTAAACCCATAATCCTGACTGTCCACGTACCAGGTTAATAATGTCTCAGTCTCACTGGCAAATCATGAGTTTGAGCTGCTCCCTCCCCTGCTGCTGCCCTTACCCTGTGCCCAGAGCACGAGGAGCCAGAGGAGGTGAGTCTGCCACAGCATCTTGCTGCTTCTGCACCGACTGACACGGAGCTGAGAGACACCAAGCGTTAAACCAGCCCCTTTATAGCTGCTCCCCAGAGCAGGGCGCAGTCACTGGGGCAGCCGTGTGCAAAGCAGCAGCTCTATAAAATAAGCATTCCCTGAGAAACAGGGGAGAGGCAGCAGGGAAGGGGTTCATGACAGCCCTGCCCTGTGAATATAATCACAACTCACCAAGTGCTGGAGGAACCACCGTGTCCCGGCAGTGCAACTGCTCCACCATGTGGAACTGCAACTGCAGGACAAAGTTGTTTCTTTTAAACCTCATCTCTTTAATGAGAATAGATCAGTTGCCCCTTGTGAAACCCTTTAGCTCAGTCCTTGGTCCTGCACTTTTCAATTTCTTTATCAGCGATTTGGACGACGGATGAAAAGCAATGTGGTCCCCATCTTTAAGAAAGGGAGGAGGGAGGACCCGGTCAGTCTTATCTCAATCCTTGGGAAACTCTTTGAGAAGATCATCAAGGAGCACGTCTGTGATGGGTCGGCATTGGGGATGAAGCTCAAGCAACCAGCATGGTTTCATTAGGGGCAGGTCACGTCAGACCAACCTGATTGCCTTTTACGATCAGGTCACAAAAGCATTGGACGCAGGTGTCGCTGTGGATGTAGTCTTTCTGGACTTCAGCAAGGCCTTTGACACTGTCTCCCACCCCATCCTCGTTAAAAAACTAGGCAACCATGGT